TGGCAATGAAATGATATACGATGGAATGAATGTAAAACTAAAGTTCTCTCATGTAAACTATCATATAATTCACAATAAAACATTAAAAACAAAAAAAGAGTCACAAGATCTTCCTCATCTTCAGAGGAAGGAAGAGGGAAGTAAGTCTTCATACAGAACTCCCTGTCTTGCTCTTGAGAAGAGCATTCTAAGTGAAATAGTGGGAAATAAATGTAAAGAGGAAGCTGGACAAAGCCATACCAAGTCCTGTAGAGAAAAAGAAACCAAACTGACAATTTTTGCTATGTATAATTGAGTTGATTCTGTCTTGTAGCAACCTTGTATGATAGTAGAATTGCCACATAGGGTTTCCTTGACGGTAATATTTACAGAAGCAGACTGCCAGATCTCCCTTCTGCACAGTTGTTGGTGGGCTTAAACTTTCAGTTAGCAGCCAAGTGCTTAATCATTGTGCCACCAAATTTCCTTAAACTTAAAATTAGGTGTGCAGAACTAGCCTCAACTACAGTGAAATCATTAAACCCAGAGGGAAAAAATACAACAAAACTTAAATGGAGTTGATTAATGTTGGCCCCACCAATGCTAGTCTTGGTTGTGCTATGGGTTAGGCACTGAACTGCTAACTGCAAGGTCAGTGGTTCAAACTAACAGCCACTCAGGGAGAAAGATGAGGCTGTCTGCTTCCACTGAGATTTACAATCTCGGATACCCTAAATCGGGTCACTATGAGTTGGAATCAACATGATTACAGTAGGTTTGGCATGTTGGACTTAATGCTCCCACAAACTACTGAACTACTGAATATGGTGGATTTTTGTATGTTTCAAATTATTCCTGCAAATTTCCTAAATTGAACATATAGTATAAGAATGTACTGTTGTTGTTGTTAAATGCCATTGAATCAGTTCAGACTCATAGCAACCCTGTATAGGGTTTCCAGGACTTGTGATGTGGCACTGTAGGATCAGCACTGGCCTTTGAACCACAAGGTTGGCAGTTCAAACCCACCAGCTGCTCCTTGGAAACCCTATACAGAGTCACTATGAGTCAGAACCAACTCGAAGGCACTTAGCAACAACAAAACTCGCAGGCATTTAGCAACAACAAAGGGCTTCCAACGAGTGGCTGGTGGATTTGAACTGCCAACTTCATAGTTAGCAGTTTCAACCTCTAAATAAATCCAACATGACAATTCTTTACTCAGGGATTAAAGCAGATCATCATTTCTATAGTTGAGTACCCAGTGACATTGTTAGTTCATTGTAGAGATGTGCTACATTTAAAAGAGAAAGAAGAGAAACTCTAAGCCCTTTAGTTAGCAATGGTTTAATGTCTCCAATTTCATGCTCACCTTGTAGAATATGCTCACTGAGTTATGTGGTGAGATGAATAGCCTGCTCTCCCCAGCACAAAAGTTATTTGCTTACGTTTGGATCAGATTTGCATACTCAGATAAAATGTGTTTATAATGAAAACTGCAATGCAATATGAATTTATATCAACCAATTTTCCAGTTTATGATTTCTAAGGAATATTTTCAAAGTAAGAAGTGAGATGATCTGGGTGGATTAAATTTTATGTAAACACAACTCTTGGTTTGAGACAAATTCCAGCTCTAGCTAAAGCTAATCTTAATAAAGAATGAATAAAAAATAAATGAATGAATAAATAAATAAAACTAACATGGCACCTATGAAGAGAATTTGCAAAATTATTGCTCAGTGTTTACGATTCTGGGCTATTTCTTTGAAACATGCTTCACCTCTTAAACATGGACATTCAAATCTTCTTTAATATTCAGTAAAATTTCTTGCAACATATGGTTCCATTGTTATTCTGTTTCATTGTTTTGAGTTTCCTCTTTAGGGACATATATTTTTTAATAATCATACAACTTGTATGTTGTTATTGATAAGTGCTGTTAAGTCAGTTCCAACTCAGCAACCCTGTTTCCGAGCAGTGGCTGATGAATTTGAATCACCGAACTTGAGATTCAAACTGAATTTGATGTCACATGCTTATCCTAGAGTGTCACACCAGGACCCCATAACACATATGTTGCTGTTGTTAAGTATCCTCTAGTCAGTTCTGACTCATAGCAACCTTATATAGGGTTTCCTGGGAGCAGCTGATGGTTTTGAACTGCAGACATTGTGGTTCGAAATCTAATGCTGATCCACAGCACCACACTATAACTTACACGTGGTGGTGGTGATTATGTGCCATGGAGTCAGTTCCAACTCATAACGACCTTGTATAAGATTTCGGAGGTTGTAATTCTTTATGGGAACAGAAAGTCTCATCTTTCTCCTGCAGAACCACTGGTAATTTCAGACCTTGAGATTAGCAGTCCGACTCATAACCATTACACTACCAGAACTCCTTATAACTTGTGTAGAACCTCCCAAAAGACTTTTTTTAAATGGAGTATTTTCACAGTAACCACAAATAGACACATTTATTTCTCATCCTAACAAATATTTTATAATACACAGCTGTACAAATAAGTGTGATTAATACCAATACTTGTTTTTGTGTTAATGGCTTCCTTGGTAATTCTGAGAAAAACTGAATTCACATGTCCAAGAAATGCCTTTGATAAGAGGTGACCAGGGAACAGGAAATTTTTGTTGACCTGATATTTCTCTTCTAGGTGTCTAAGATTGTAGATACTATTTATAATACATTGTGTGACAATTCTAACAACGTTATGAGTCATGCTATGTTGCGGGTCATCACATTGTTGACACGCACTTCACCAAAGAAAATCATCTTTCAGCTTATGGATTACCCAGTCCCAGCAGACAAGTAAGATCCTCTTACATTTGTCTTCAGAGTTTGTATAAAAGTTCCAGGGTCAGAAAGAACTAGGCCCAAAACTTGATCTTTCAAGTTTAGATCTTTCTCTTTTCTTAAAAGAAGATTTGCTCTTTCATTCTATAAGATGAATATAAAGCTTAAGTCAGTCCTCAGCAAATGTTTATCTTCATTATATTATTATTTATATAAAGCTTTAAATTCTGTTGTGCTACCTATCCACACTACCACTCATCTGTCAGTTTGTCATATTGTGGTAGGTTGCGTGTGGCTGTGACGCTGAAAGCTACACCACTGGTGTTTTAAATACCAGAAGGGTCAATCATGGTGGACAAATTTCAGATGAGCTTCCAGATTACTCATAAGGTATCAGCGACACACTGTCAAATAGCACTAGAATACTGAATATTGAAATATGATGAAGTGTTGTGTTTACTGTCCTGCAAAAACACCGAGTGGAAGAATATGCTACTCAAAATACATAGTTAAAGGATTAGGGGAGAGAAGCTCTCTGAAGTATAAAACTCCTCCTGACTTTTTCCCTTTCCTCATATTTTTAGACTTTATCAAAGCAGAAAGTTCAAAAGCATTTTTGCAAGATTTAGAAAAAACATAGGTAGCAGCTTAAATTCTTACATAAGGCTGGTCACAGAGAAACAACAGAGACTTTCTGATTTCAAACACTCCTAACTAAGTCTTCCTAGTTATATAAACATCCTTGATAAACACAGTGGACCCGAGTCTGCTCAGGTCAGGATGCTCTTTCTCACACACACTATCAGGGCAGAACATTCCAAGAAGCTACATTCTTTTAACCCATGTTATGCAACACTTAGTGAAAACAATACCCACAATGAAGAACAAGCACCACAATATTGTCAGATAAAGTGCCAGAAGATTAGTGCCTCAGATTGGAAGGCACTTAAAAAAAAAAAAAAACATGGCTAGGGAAGAGCTACCTTCTCAAAGTAGAGATGACCATGATGGTGTGACTGAAATAAAGCTTTGGGGGCCTTCATTTATTGATGGGACACAATTTGAAATATGCAGAAAAAGCTATAAACATCCATTAATAACCAGAATATGGAATGTACAGATTACAAATCTTGGAAAACTGGAAGTTGTCAAAAATGAAATGGAACATATAACTTTCGATATCCAACTTCTGGTGAGTCACTGTTTCAAAAAGAATTGGTTAATGTTCAAGCATTTCAAGAGGCAGCATATGATCAAGAGCCAATGGTACTGAATGAAGAAATCCAAGGTACACTGAAGGCATTAGCAAAGAACAAGGCTCTGGGAATTGATGGGATACAAATTGAAATCTTTTCAACAAATGGACGCACCAGTGGAGGCACTCACACATGTATGCCAAGAAATTTGGAAGACAGCTCCCTGGCCAACTGATAGGAAGATATTCCTAATTGTGCCCATTCTAAAGAGAGGTGAGCCAAAAGAATGTGCAAATCATTGGACAATGTCACTGATATCACATGCAAGTAAAATTTTGCTAAGGATATTTCAAAAGTGGTTGCAACAGTACATTGACAAAACTTCCAGGAGTTCAAATCGGATTCACATGAGGACATGGAGTGAGGGATATTATTGCTGAAGTCAGATGGATCTTGGCTGAAAGCAGAGAATACCAGAAAAAATGTGTACTTATGCTTTATTGATTATGTAAAGGATTTCAATTATGTGGATCATGACAAACTATGGACAACATTGCAAAGAATGAGTATCCTGGAACATTTAATTGTGTTCATGAGGAACCTGTACATAGACCAAGAGGCAGTAGTTCGAACAATAGAACAATGAATCATTTAAAATTAGGAAAGTAGGGCTGTATTTTTTCCCTATACTTATTCAATCTGTACGCTGAGCAAATAATCCTAGAAACTAGATTATATGAAGAGAACGTGGCATCAGGATTGGAGGAAGTCTCATTAACAACCTGTAACACGCAGATTCTACAACTTTATTTGCTGAAAGTGAAGAGGACTTAAAATACTACTGATAAAGATCAAAGACCACAGCCTTCAGTATGAGTTGCACCTCAATGCAAAGAAAATAAAAACCCTCACCACTGGACTAATAAACAATATCCATATAAATGGAGAAAAGATTGAAGTTGTCACACTTCATTTACTCATTCAATCATCATCACTCCTGAACACAGCAGCCAAGAAGTCAAATAACGCATTAGGCAAATCTGTAGCATGAGACCACTGTAAAGTGCTGAAGGGCAAAGATGTCAGTTTGAGGACTAAGGCGCACCTGACCCAAGCCATAGTATCTTCAATAACCTCATATGTATGTAATTTGGACAATGAATAAAGAAGACAATAGAAGAATTGATGCATTTGAGTTGCAGTGTTGGAGGAGAATGTTAAAAATGCCATGGACTTCCCAAAGAACAAACAAATCTTTATTTGTAGATGAGGAGCCAGAATGCTCCTTAGAAGCCAACAGATCCAAACTTTTGTCTCATATTTTGGACATATTATCAGGAGGGAGCAATCCATGGAGAAGGAAATCTTGCTTGGTAAAGTGTAGGATCAGCGAATAAGTGGAAGAACCCCCCATCCCCAGATTTGTGGCACAGTGACAACAGCAATGGGGTCAAGTGTAGTAACGATTGTAAGATTGGCACAGGACCAGGCAGTGTTTCATTCAGTTGTGCATAAGGTCACTATGAATCAATACCAACTAGATGGCATCTAATAACAACAACCTATGCATAGGAAAAAGACCTGCGGATTAACTTCCATAAGATTACAGCCTAGTAGGAAACCCTATGGGGATGTTCTACTTTATGAAACCCTTTCAGGCTGGTCGCTTAACGTCAAAATTAACTCCATGACACACAATAACAACCTATCACATAGAAACAAATCTCTCCACAAAGTGATAATGGGTTTTTATTCTAATAGGTGACTTTACCCATTTTTCTTTAGGAAAAAATTAATAAAAGTATTTTTATCACTAATTAAGGGCCAACATATATATTTTCACCCACCAATAAGGCAATGGAACATTGTAAATTCTCAAATATAGTTGGGAGTCTGCTATTTCTTAACTGTTCATCTTAAATTCATGGTCTAGGATCACAAGTATTGCTTAACAAGAAAAAACATTCTAGATGTGAGCATATGGGAAAATGTAATCTAACAAGTACATTTTAAGAGCATAGCAAATCATATCACTGTACTTTGACAAGCTGTACAATGAAAAGAAAGGTATTCATTTTCAATTATAAGTATTTCAAGTTTTCTTTACTTCCAGCAAGCAAAGTTGTGTCATCTGTACATTGCAGGTTTTTGATGCACCATCCTTCAATATTAATGCCATATACTTCTTCACATAATACAGCTTCGTGGATTACTTGCTCAGCATACAGGTTGAATAAATGTGGTGAAAGGATACAAAACTGGCTCACACATTTCTCGATTTAAAGCCATGATTCAGTATCTCCTTGCTTCTTGGTCTATAAACATGCTCCTCCTGACCACAACTAAGTGTTCTGGAATATCTGTTCTTCACAATGTTATCCATAGTTTGTCATGCTCCACACAGTTGACAGCCTTTGTAGCATCAATAAACCACAAGTAAACATCTTTCTGGTATTCTCTGCTTTCTGCCAAGAGCCAGTTGACATCACTAATTATACTCCTAGTTCCATGTCCACTTCTGGATCCCGCTTCAATTTCTGGCAACTCCTTGCCAATAACTCCTGTAACCATTTCTGAATTATCTTGAGCAAATTTTTATTTGCATATGATATTAATGATATTGCTCAATAATTTCCACATTCCTTTGGGTCACCTCTATTTGGAATGGGCACAAATCAGGATCTCTTCCAATCAGTAGGCCTTGTAGCTGTCTTCCAAATATCTGGGCATTGACAATTGAGGACCTCCAGCACTGCATCAGTTTGTTAAAACATTTCAATCTGTAGCCTGTCAATTATTGAAGCCTAATTTTATTTTTTTGCCAGTGCTTTCTGTGAAGCTTGAGCTTCTTCCTTCTACACCATCAGTTCTTGTCATGGTTGAACATCAATCAATTCTTTTTGGTAAAGTGACTCTGTGTAGCCTTTCCATCTTCTTTTGATATTTCCTGAGCCTTTCAATATTTTGTCCATAGAATCATTCACTACTACAAACTCAGATTTGAATTTTGTCTTCAGTTCTTTCAGCTTTAGACATAGTGAGCTTACTCTTCCTTTCTGGTTTTCTAAGTCCAGGTCTTTGCACATTTCATTATAATACTTAATGTTGTCTTCTCTAGCTGTTTAGCTTCTCTTTTCTGTTTAGCTCTTTTATGTAATCATTTTTGCCAGTTAGTTTAGCTTCTCAAAGTACAAGGGCAAGTTTCAGTGTCTCTGATATTCCCTTTGGTCTTTTATATCCTATCTTTTTAATGTCCTTTTGTATCCTTCATGGATGCTGCTGCTGATGTATTCCCACAACTCTTCTGGTTTCTGATCTTTAGTGTCTAATATATCAAATCTGTTCTTGAGATGGTCTCTAAATTCAGGTGGGATATATTCAATGCCATATCTTGACTTTAGTGTACTTGTTTTAGTTTTCTTCAGCTTCAGCATGAACTTACATATGAACAATTGATGATCTTTTCCACAGTCAGCCCCTGGCTTTGTTTTGGGTTGTTACTGAGCTTCTCCATTGTCTCTTCCCACATATTAAGTCAATTTGATTCCAACATATTCCATTCAGTGAGGTCCACATGTATAGTAGCCATTTATGTTGTTGAAAAAAATTATTTGCAATGAACAAGTCACTGGTCTTGCAAAAATCTATCATGTGATTTCCAGCATAATTTCTATCACCAAGGTCATATTTTCCAACTAGTGATCCTTCCTCCTGAATTTCAGCTTTCACATTTTGATATCCAATAAACTATCAATGCATCTTAATTGCATGTTTGATCAGTTTCAGACTGAAGAATTGGTATAATTCTTTAATTTCATT